ATTACAGTCAAATATAAATATTGGAGTTTGATCAAAAAATTAACTAACTCCTTGGTCTTTCAACCTTTGAGGATGCTATGGCTTTGGACTTCTATATCTATTGATTTTGGTTAATTTGGACTAACTTAGCTTTATCTCACGTGCTTATAAAATACTTTCTAGAGTTAAACGACCTCTTAAACACCATATTGATGATATCTTGGATGCTAATTCAATTTCTTTGGTTGTCACTAAGATTGGTGAACCTCTTCTTATCTTAGTTAATAAGGTAGAGGGTCGTCATTGTGCATTTCTTACCTTCATAATATTTCCAATATCATTTGTATTTTGAACATGTAGACCTAGTATGGTTTGAGATGTTAATTTTCAAATGCATGAAGAACATAATGTTAATAAAAAAAAGCATGCTATGGACTTCTTAATTGGTACTACAATTGCTTCTGATATCATTAAGAGACATTATTTTTTTCCTAGGCTAAGCTATGGACTTTAATACTTTCGTATAGATTTTTGGCATATGCTTTACTATTTAGAAGTATTTTCATGACTATGTTGGTACTTTAAAGTCAAAGAACAATAATTAAGAGGAAATGGGTCTTAAACTTACTAAGGTTGAAGAAGTTTGAGTCATTTTTTTGCATAAATTGGCATGCAAGTAATAAGCTATAAGTTTAATGTATCTTTGTTACTTTGGCAAAAAATTAGGAAAAATAAATATTCAACAGATTCTTTGAAGGGATTTTTTTTTTAAGACACTCCATGTTCTATCAATATTGCCAATTTATGCAAACATTATGGTGATAAAGTCCTTTATTTAACTACAAGTGAGGATGTTAGAAGAATATGAGTTATTTTTTTAATAAATTAGTAATTAAAAGCCATATTTGCATGCAATGGTGCTTCATTGATAAAAAAAGAGACCATAAAATTAAATGATTAGCCATTGGAGTTAAGACCACACCTTATTGATGCCAAAGCATAAAGTATATGGGCTTTTATTCCCTCATATTATAATTTTTTTGTCTTTAATCTTAAAGATCTTGAAGGCTACAGAAGCAAAGCTATTTATATCCAATTAAAAGATTATCATGTAATCTTTTGACAACCTAATAAGCTTAGTGCCTCAAAGAAAACTAATGTCTAGGTTCATTGTCAAGAGTCATTAGCTACAAACTTGTTGAAATTTATAATAACAAGTATGCTTGTTGTAAGTTATCAAATCAACTCATGAGTTGTTTTAGAAAAAAAGAATGCAAAAATAGTGTTAATTAGAAATCATTAATTGAAGATGAGTATAGAAGATGCTAAATAAAAATAAAATAGAATTAGTAGATAAATTTTAGTTATGTGTAGAAATTCTAGTAGAAAATCTCAATTTAGAAGGTAACTTGGAAGGCATCTAATTGACATATCTTTAAAGAATATGTAAAATCATACACACACACACATATATATATATATATATATATATATATATATTTTTATTTTTTTTGTTATTGATTTTATTTATTGGTGGATGTGGTATTAGGCTAAATCCTATTGATTGAAGAATTACAAGGATTATTGCATGTTCATTATTACTTCATTCTGCAAAGAGGTTGTTTTTTTCTTCTAACAACCAATGAAGGTAGTCTAAGGCAGTCTTCTACATCATGGTGGCCTTATTTTTTCTCTAGTTATTCTTGTCAAATTATTGGGATGCAGCATTAGATTCTTCTTGCTTTTGTATATTAATTGAAGATCTCTAATATTCTCAATTATGCCCTTATGTTGGTGAATTATTGAATTACTCTCAAAATTGAAAGAAATGCATAGATAACAAGCACAAGAAAGATGAAAAGTTTTGAATTATTGAATAGCTCTCAAAATTTATCCAAATATTGGAAATCAAGACTAGTATCCATAAAATAAAATAAAATCACTTCAATCTAATTGACAAATTACTAAAGATCTTAGAAATATTCACTGACCTTTAAACTTAAGTTTTTGAGATCTCAATCTACAAAAACTCTCATATACTTTAATCTAACTAATTAATTTATCTCAAAATTTGCATTCACATTTATAAATCTCTTCTATAAAAGGCGGTATTAAGACTAAATCTTTTACTACCTTTCTATTATTTATCTTTATTTTTCTATTACATCTATCTAGTAGTTTCTTCTAAAATAACATCCATATTTATATTTTTTACTATATAGTTGTATTACCACACCTCAACGGTTGCAATGGCAAATTAATAGCATTGTCTAGATCTTGTGTTATCCTCAGAATTTGTAATTATTCTTCTTATAGTGGGTGGTGATCATCAATTGGTATTATTAGTGTTAGCAATGGAAAAGTTCCACTTGATATGAGAATAGAAAGGCATTATCCCTCCTCTGATACTATTATCTCTTTTTCATTCTAGTATACATTTTTCTTACCTACTTAATACTAGAATATTTATTTGCAATTTGAAATAATCTAATGAAGGAATACGACGGTGGTTTTGAACTAGTCTAAGTGGTTTCTACAAATAGTAGATTACTTGACAACATGGAGAAATTTAGACATAGTAAAGGCATCCATTGTGATTTCTATGGATTTATAATCTTCAAAGGTCAATTCAGATAATGTTGTTAGGCCTAGCTTGAGTGTGGTTGTATTAGTAGTTGTAGTGCTAGTGAAACACTCCTTTAGTGGAAGTAGAGCCAACTAAATGATGTAGAGGAGAGTAGGACATAGTTCCACTTCCTCTATTATTCTAGGGCCCATGATCCATCTACATGGTGGTCAGAAGGCAGTCATCATGATAGATCAGAGCCAAGACAAGTTGTGAATACTAAAGTGCACTGGAAGTTGCTAATCCGTGCTACCAGCCTGATTCTAAGCTCCATCTGATGTGCATTGGGGACTAAGCTCCATTGCAACTAGATTGGAGAAGGACAGCTCTCAATGAGCATGGAGGTTGGTCTTCACCAAGTTCTTTCAAGTCCAATCCTTCAACAAGCCGAATTTCAAGGCCAAGTGCTTTACAAGAAGTATGCAAGCCTATCAATTATTAACACTGAGAATTTAGATTGAATAAAAATAATTACATGAGACGACTTGACTAGTAAACATCGCTGCAGGAAAAACTAGTAATACATATACATTGTTGGATCAGTTGCCTACACTGTAACGTAAGATCATGAAAGTAGACATGCGTTGATGAATTAAGCATCTTTTTGAAATAGTCTACAGTGCTCTGATATTTATCAGGATCCCACGTGAATTGTGAGATCCTTGGAATATGTTGCTGTTTCCACTCAGTATCCTGTTTTATATTGAGATTAGTCGGAATCTGCTTTGATCGAATCGGAATAAACTATAACTGCAACAAGTTAAACACATGTCTGAATTGGTGGTTTTAATCACCTGATGTCAAAACACATCACGAATGTCAGATGAAATCTATCATTCGAATACAAGCAGATAAGATGATTTTTCATGTTATTGAGTGCTTAAATTTGATGAACTTTGCTGAAGTCATTGGTTGAGCTCAATTGCTACCTTAAATGATATATTCTACTAATGTCACGTGGAATTTCCTGTAGGTCCAAAAAAGTAAAATTTTGTAAATGGTTGAAATCATTTTGATATTATTAATTATGTGTCTATTCTATGTATGACCATTATTTGAGTTAACAACTATGTGAAGAATTGTTTGATTTGTTATACACAAGTTGCACATTGAATTAAATTAGTTTGTAAATATACAAATGAGTAAGATTCATTTTAGCTATTAATATGAGGAGGAATTTTGACAATGAGATGTTATTGTATATATGTATGTTGGTGCATTTCTGATTTTACTTTCACTATATATGAAAAAATCAATATCACATCAAATCAAGTTTTAATGACTATTTTCTTTATTTTATTTTAGTTTATTATTTGTGACATAATTAAATATAATTTTGTTAACAATTACATTTGAATATTCAAGATTTATTAGGATTATAAAATATATATATATATAAATTGAAAGAAAAGTATAAATTATTATAGATATTTTATACATAATATTATTCTAATCTTAATATGAAAATAAAAACTATATATATATATATATATATATGCATTCCTATTAACAAGGTATGGATCTAATTGATAAAAGTTATTTTTAAGAGTTGGAAATGAAATAATATAAAAAAATTAAAACCACAACTTGAAATATTCTCAAAACCACATGGCACAAGAACTTTCAGTATTTACTTACTATCAGATTTTATATTTAGATAAAAACAACTATAAGTGCATAATTGAATGTTTCTGTAGCTACACAAGATTGTGTATTACTAAGCTCTTGTAATACAATTTATATATATATATATATATATATACATACATATACATATTTTTTTTTGATGTGTTTGAAATAGATAAGAATATTGACTAAAAAACATATATATTTGAATTCACAAAATATATTACATATAAAATGTTAGAAAGAAATAACTACATTTATGTATGCAAAAAGCATGACATTGTGTTTAAAATAGGCATAGTTAGTTTGCGTTGTAGTCATTAATTGATTTGATACATCAAATTATAAATATGTAACTTTTTAAATTATATTCTCTCCAAATCTAGCTTAGAATTGATTTGAACTTTATTTTAATAGTAAAATATACAAGTTTTAGGAATAAAATATAAAAAAAATTAGTCTATAATTATCTACATGCATTTCTGAGAATAATTTTCTTTTCTTTAAAAAAATTCATATACTTGTAGGTGATTTTAAGTGTCAAATACAACTCTTTGCAAACTATTTGTTAGTATTTTCAAGAATGGTAGTTTATTTTTAAAAAGTTGAATTGGTCATAACAATAATTGAGTCCCTTTTTTTAAGGTCAATTGAGTAATAACAAGCACTTGCAACCTAAGATTTTGACGAAATCGACCGTAGTATTCCTTTGATCTTGAAAGTATCACTCACGCACAGAGACTAATCAAATAAAACTTAGTAGATGCTATTTAACATTAACAAAGATGTGAACAATCTTCAATAGAGAACAATTTCTCCGTGAATCATAACAGAAGTGAATTTTATATGCATACGGCTTGTCTGCAGTAACTCATATTGTTATGCAGTATCATACGCTTGAACGCCACCGAAGCAAGTGCACCAAGTGCTGAAGCACGTTTTGACCAAAAAACAAGCAGTTTGTGTTTGCAACATTACCCTGTAACGTCCGAGAAAAAGGAACTCTCAACTATATCTATATTCGTGTGATTTAAACATGCGGGTCTGCCATCATAAAGGTTATGAAGGCCAATGATACTGCTGCAGCTTTCTTTACAACCCTAAATAAAGAAAAGAAAAAATCTGAACGCTTATGTATACAGCAACATATTTATCCAGTGTCTGTTTAAATTGTAGACAAAACGTACTGAGCATAAACTGAACAAAAGAGTCAGCTCCCTCGTTGCATTCGCGATGCTGTGACGCCTACCGTCTCGAAAGAATTTTCAAGAGGTATATATGCTCGTTAGCAACAACTGTAGCGAAGGGTTTCTTGTCACCTCCTCCATTGTTGCAGTCATAGGTCTGTCAAAGGAACAAGCGAAGTACACTTAAAGCTCAGGACTCATGAATTCATTTCTGATAGTAAAAATTCGCTTCATGAGCCCAAGGTTGTAACAAAAGGCAGCTAAGGTGCAACCTGTTTTCAGCTTCCTAACATACCTGAAATATGATGGTGTAATGATCAAACTGTGTATCAATTCCAAAACCTCCACTTGCAAACGAATAAAAGAGAGATCACTATGGTATGAGAATTACCGTTTCCCCAAAAAGCGTTGTAGCCAAGCTGAATCTTTGATCATATTTTTGAAAGATGGGTAACGTTGCATATATTGTGAACATCCTGCATCCATACAGATAAGAACCGAATCATTCGAGAGAATACTAAAAGGAACTAGGACTTTCATCTTGTAGCTGTGGATTGGAAGTATTGTATTTAATTGACGTACCTGTAACAATAATATCCCATAAATCTTCCTCTTCGGCCGGTTCCTCTAACCTCTCTGCCTGCATCAAAACATGGTTGTAAGTTGGTAAAAGTTGATATTAAGAGTCGCAATTACCAAAAACACTCGATACGCTGCAGTTGCTCTGGAACGTATATTAAATAGTTTCAGATCTAGTTTAAATTTTGTTTACAAAAAAACATAAGATCAAATTCTCACCCTTTGGCATCGTTCCAGATTCATCAATATCAATTTAAAAACAGTATGCAGACCAACAGGACCAAACCCGGGGTATTGTGAAAGAGCTTCTTCGTTAGTCAGCCCAAGAACCATAGTGCATAGACTTGCCGCCAACGCACACTCCATCACCTGCTTTCCTTGCACTGAACCAGGGCAGCCATAATTTTTTCTTTAGAGACGACACATTCGTTCTTCAAAAAAATATCAATGATTGAAAAAATACAATCAAGTGCACATGGTACAACTCAATACAATTTCTTGCAATCATACGTTATAGATCAAAAAGGACACTTGCGAAGTGGTGGTTGAAGAAATGGGCAGCCATCCTAAACCATTTTAAAGCGAATATAATATGTGCAGAATGCAAAATCAAATAGAACGACAAATGACAAAGCACAGTGTGATTCATATAATGCAAGAGTGAGGCAACAGACCGAGAAAGAACAAACCTGCCCAGTTGGCTAGAGATGGCAATGCAGGAATGAAGTCCGCAACTTTGATAGCACTCCCTAAACCATCCTTTTGCTGCAGACCACTCCATACACATAGATACTTGCATCAAAAATCATAAAAACGAAGAAATAATTTGCAATTCAGCACAAGATATATCCGACCCTACAATTCAAAGCAAGTTTAAATATTCTTTTAGTGCATATATCCAAAAAGAAATTTGAAACTAGTCATGCAAATACGAGGCAGAAACAGCGCGGCTACATCCACCGGAAACGACGCAACTAGTTGCCCTACCTTAATAAGGAGGTTCAAAAGTGTGTCACAAGCATCGATTATTGGAGCACGCGAATCTAACCCGCCTGTTTCTGTTGCTACACGCACAAATTGAACAATCTGCAGCAGAAATAATTCAATCGTGAGAAGATGAAATAGTATTGCAAACTATGTTGCGCATTGTATCCTTACAAACATCAATAACAGTAAAGATTCATTGCAAGATTATAAAGCTGCCAGTTCTGGAACCATATTCTACCAAAGGCTAAGATTTTGCAGCCTAGAGTCAATGACAATATAATCTTCGCACAAATGAGCACCAAGGGTAAGAGTTGCGCCGGAAGAATGAAAGAAAAAGTGAAATTGGTTGCAAGCATGGAACTGACCTGCTTATGACCTCCACAAAAAACCAAAGCTTTGCAACCATCAAGCTCTGTGGTAATCTGGGATAATGCAGGTAGCATGAAGCAGACGGCTTCATAAGACCTGCACATTAATCAGCACATTTAAAATTAAATAATGAGAGTACTCCGATTGGCTATCCAATCAGATTGGTAGAAAGATAATTGGAGTTTGATTCATACATTTCCACCGGAATGACAACAGATCGTGCAACAGAGAAAATAAGCACACAAATTTGGGCGTCGTGCAGTATGTGAATACTAAGACAAATAATGCTGAAACATTCGTTGCAATTACGATGAAAGACGCTATGGAGTATGTTTGCAACATGCTTCTTCAACTACCTCGTTTTCGTAACAGTCAGAAAAATATTTCATGTGCGGCTGAACAACAAAATATATAAGTGACCTTGCTCCATATAACACAAGGACACCATGCTTGAGTCGAATAATTTATGTACGAAGCAAAAATAACAATAAGGTGATTTTCTATGAAACCAACACAATTGAGGATACACAACAGTGATCCAATTTCAACAATTAGCTAGCAGAACAATGACTTCAAACCACCCGATGATTGTAAGCGAAAATCTTGATGTGAACATACCCATCTTGTCCCTCTCTAGTAACAGTGAGCAGGAATGCGAGTAGCTTGGATACAGAATGTCGGTGAGCAATGGGATTTTCCGCCAAGTACCTGGAAGCGCCCAATACAAAGACACAATAAATGTGATAGAAGAACTAATGGTGGCAAGATAAACCGAGTAGAAGCTCAAAATTACCACCAGGCAACTCATGACCTCATAAATTCAGATACTCTACCCAGACAACATGAAAAACTTTACGGTCATGATGTTTAAATAACATTTAATTGTTAGTCAATGTTTTTGCTTCAAGACATACTCGAGGCTATATAACTTCAAAAAAATTAAGATACGCATCACTAACCTTCCCAACAATCGAACAACACCTAAGAGCAAGTCTCCACATGTAACATCATTATCCTGTGCAAACCCAAAGTAAACAAGTGAGGTACGACTTCCATTTCAAGAAACGGAAATGTATAATTACAAGAGAATTTGATGAAGAAGATGTGTCTGCCTCTATCAACTCGACTTATTTCTCTCTAAACTTTTGCATCAAGCATTGTTTATAAGAGTGAAATATTCCGATTCAAAGAAGTAATTATGCAGAGACAACAATACAACAAAACAACACAAAATCAAGGAGAAAACCAAAAATAATAATAAAAAAAGGTTATGTTTTATTAACGAAAGTAAAGGGCACAGTTTGAATAGCGAACCTGGGCATCCTCAAGAAACTCAAGAATCAAACCTATAACCTCGGTTAATGCAGCAAACGCAAATTCTAGCGTAGACTCCTTCAACCTCCCTGATGCATCTGAACATGAATATCAGTAAACCCTCAAAAATGATATAAGGGGCAATGGATAAAGCCTAATCAACTATAATGATACATTGCATAAACACTTTTGCGCTAAACCAAATAGACAATAGTAGATTCACCTTGTTGTTCAACTACAACATTGACGATGTGCTCCAGGAGTGCGAGATAAGTTGCCAGCCCTTGCTGCTTCCCAGCAGACTCAGCCACTTGAGTAGTTTGACCTCCAGAACCAAACATTTTCCTTGCAACTTCATTTAAGAGTACTGCAGTCTCAATCCTCAGAGTCTCTACCACCAGCATAAAGAACCTGATTTTGAAAACTAGATTTTCTTAGCGGAAAAATAAGAACGGTTAGAAAACCAAAAGCTATTTCATTGTTGTCAACCTAGATAAAGATCCAGAAAAACGATTTCCTAAACCAAACCACCAAAGAAAACTACTCCAATCAAATAATATTAAACCTTGGAAAAGTAATGCATTATGAAAAGAGACTACGGCATACAATCTTGAAGGGCAAAATAACTTGAAGTTTCTATTAGTGTGATCTGAACGTTAAGACATCCGGAAACACACAGGAAAAAACTGGAATCACCTGTCTAATGGAACAGGCTTCTGATCTTCAGGAACAACCATTGGCCCCAAAAGCCAAGGCTCTCCAATAATTTCTACAATAGCCTCTATGACTTCCAATGCCAATTGTCTCTTTTCTGCCACTGTTCCCACCATATGGCAGCAAACATCAGAAGATATAAAATGACTGAAATTCTAATAATAGCTGAAGAAAGAGCTGAAGCAGGAAAAACATAAACACGTGCTCTATTCACGACCTATTTTGTCTCGACTTTCCAATTTGATAATCTGGATTTAAGCAAGGAACTCAGGACTTCAACACAATTAAAGCTCATGACGGAATCTGCAATATTTAAACCATACAAAAAGTTCATAATAAATGAACAGAAACGCATAGCTACGATAATGCCAAAGAAAAAACTCACTTCAAACCTTTCAAAATTCACCACGTGTGCAACAACGAACAAGAAGGCAGGTACAGAAACCTAGAAAGGAACAATGAGGCAAAGACTGTCCAAGCAATGAAGAGAGTGAAGAGCTTTAGCCTACCCACGCGATTGTTTAAAATAACTCCAAGTCCGGAACGTACATTAGCATGCCAATCAGAACTTAGAGAAGCGTTCTGAATAGCAAGTCGAATAGGTGCCTGCAACTCAATCAAGACGAAGTATAAATACGAAATCAAAAGGAAAGACACTCGAAGTCAACAGCACATGTATAAATGCTGCAACAAAGAATAGAGTCTTCTTGTAAAACTTCCCTAAATACGGTGCTTAATTAGACAGAATTCTTAGACCCACAAACGATCAAGCAAACAATTACCGAGTATTCTGATGCAAGCAAATAGTGAAGAAGAGACAGTGCTTCAAACTTGAAAACACCCTGCTGAAAAACTAACTGTCTTGCTACAATGGGAACCTGACAAACAAGCCACAAAAACATTTAGAATAATAACTAAAGATATACCACATATACACTGTAATAGCTGAAGAACTGACCTTTGGAAAAGCCAAACAAATATCTTTTCCAGAATCAGTATAATAAGAACATCCATAAGACGATGTGGCCCAAATTATCATCTAAATTGCAACAGAGCAAGAAGAAATGCCTCTTACCATAGTTGCCAGTTCTTGTGAGCACATCATGGCCTCCTGTATAACTCCCGTTGTAGTAAACATAAACAATATTAACCTGACTGCTAGAGGTGTCCAATTTGCATCTGTATTCGCAAAAAAACAGAGCCTGTATGATACGTTCTAATCATGATATACAATAAAAAGAAATGATCCTTGAACACTACAGGAAGTAGAGCTTGACTAACATGAAGAGGAGGAGATGCCAGAGAATAAGCAACAACTAAAGAGAAGCGAGAATCAAATTAGCTGGACGTCCATAAAACAGAAGGGTACAGCAGTCAAAAGATGAAGATATAGTACTTGGCGATGCCATGTTCAATCGATGTACGACTGTAGTTAAGACGTTCTTCTGCAGAAGAGATTCTCGTCCCGCGTCTGATCCTGCACCTATGGCTAGCAAGCATTCCAAAGCATCCCCAACGGCGACTTCATCCTCCCTGAGCATAATATACAAACTTCAACATCGCAGGAACCAAAAAAATTGAACAGGTAGACTATCTATCAAGATATGCGTTATTATAGATATTGTTGAGGATGGTTAAGACACAGATGATAATAAAGTCAACCTTGTAAACAACAAAAATCAAAGAAACCACAAAAACTTGGTTATTAAGACGCTTGCAAGCTCCAACATGACCAAGGGTCGCACTCTTAACATTGACAATTAGTATACACAAAAGCAATAAGAAATCATGAGTATTGAAAAAAAAAAAATGTCGAAAAATATAGTGTTGATTACAAACATACTAAGAAAATACAAAAAAACTAATTACAGGTTAAGACATAATCACTTCTTATCACATTCGGATGAGTTTCACCTGCCTGACAAAAGACCTAAAATGGAGATAACATAAATTCTTCACATAAAGTTTTCAGCATGGAAGAAACGCAGAGAGAAGTAATGACGATGGAAAAAGAGGGAGGCAAATTATACTTGCTTGATAAAGTTTCAACAAGAATGGGAACTTTACAGATGGTCTCATCCATCGCTGCAAACTCCGGCAAACGACAAAATGCAGAAATAATAGAGAGAGCCAAGTGCAAATAAGCCCGCTGCTGCTCTTTGTCATTGCGTCCGACTGCTTCCCCTCCACCAGATGCTCTTGCCTGCCCTGTACCTGCCACAGAAGCATTAAATTCATCCAACATAAGGTGAGACAGATCAAAATCACCAGGAACATCGCGAGCTCGACCACATCAGCCACCGCACAAATATAAACACTAGCTGGATGCCAAACCTTACGGTTTGAGCCATTATTCATTCACATATCTATATCACCACCCTCCTGCAATACTCATTGAGCTCGAATATTGTCATACACGCCTGTCAACGAATCCCTGTTGATATCTCTACAGCGGCTGCATCTGCACTGATGCCTCGCGTGATAAAATAGGAGAATAATCGAAACCTCGTCAGTAACATGCGTCTAAATCAAAGCAACACCAGCATACCACATACCACGTACCAGCTGGTAACACTCAGTTTGCTTTTATGCAAGAATGGATCTCAATTGAATAATTATAAAGCTAGATGATCATTCCATGATTTAGCGCAAGATTCTTAAATAGCAGAATGTGGGCGGGCAATGGAAGAAGTTATTCGGAAAACCAAAATCAGTGATAATTCGGTGAACCAACATAAAGAGTAACAGATAACAAGATACGCAACCGAGCTCCAGCGTACCAAAGATACCCCTCCAATTGTGCAATTCACAGGAAGAATCGCAAAGAAAATAAATAAATACATCGCATATGAGAACCTAAGGCCTGAAACGGCAGCAAGGCAGTCCTCAAAGTGAAGTTGCACTACGAATTGTAATGATAATTACAAATGGCATGACCTTCTACAATCCTACTAACCCTATACAAAGGGCTCTCAGGTTAAAGCGTCCAACAGAGAAAAAAGACGGGACAATGTAGCTCAAGACGCAAGGGAAATGACTAGAATTCATCCCATAAACCCTAAAATCACGCACAAATTTCGTTAGACAGGAGCACTTAAGGGTTCTAACATGAATAAGAATACGCCCTAGGGGATCGAGACTCTAACCAAAAAACATGCAAGCATTTTCCGCTACAGATAAAGCTACATCAGTTGACAAACAAAACTCCTGATGTAAATTCACGAGTAAAATGTCACCAAAGAACTCTATTCTCCTACGAATCCGGCTACAGCTGCACTCAACCAAGACTAAGAGGCCGCAAACAGGTTTGTCAGACAAGGCAAAAGCACACACTCATGCGGCATCGATCTTTAACCAAGCGAAGTCACCCTCTTAATCCACTGATCGAGGTCAATATCAAGGATTAAGAAACGGAGCCAAAATCAGCAGCAGCACCCAATTGCAATAAAAAAACGAGCCCGAGTAACACGGGGAGTGGTTTGCCCTGGCCACAACATGCGAGAGGTTAAACAAAACAGCATTCCAGAAGAAAGAGAGCGAGAGAGAGTCACGGAAGGCCACTCACCAGTTCGAAGCAAGCGATTGAGGAAAGGGAAGCCGATGGCGTCGAAAACGCGGCGCACGTCGTGGAGGTCGTTGCCCTTGACGATTTTGGTGGCCAGCAGGAGACCTACCAGACGCTGCTCGTCGTTGGTGCCCTGGAGGAGCTTCAGGCACTCGTCCATAGCATGAATGAGAGGGATTAGGTTCAAGTTACAAGGCGCTGGACGTTGAAGTTGCTGAGGAGCTCGCTCTCGCGCGTTTATTGACGCCGAAGACAAGCAAGCAACACACACAGAGACAGACAGACACACACACACACACACACACAGGCACAGCAGCCGACGACGACGACGGGAGAAGGAGCCAGTATAGGTCTAATATTATTATTCTTATTATTATTCTAATTACAAGACGGGCTTGTTATGTATGGGCGGAGTCCCTTCTCCCGTACAGACGCATTCACACTAGCCCTTGCTTCAGGACTTTTTCTTCTCCCCTCTAGGCACGTTCACACTTGCCCTTGCTTCAGGACTTTTTCTGCTCCCCTCAAGGCGCGTTCACACTTGTCCTTGCTTCAGGACTTTTTCTACTTCTTGCTTCCATTATACTGTGGTGATTGTTGGGTGAATTTATTACTACTATCGTACATGAAAGTAAAATGTGACTTTTTCAATCTAACTCCCATCTTCCTTTCTTTCTTAAATGTGCCTTTATTGTTTTTTTTTTTACCTATAAGAATGATTTGGTTTCTTTAAAATCATACTTTTTTAAAACATTCATGTGCATGTGATGGTAGTCACTTTGAGCTCTGTTTGTAAAAGACTGATTTTCTATTTTTTTTCAGTTTAATGTATGTGTGTTATTTTTTGTATTTGTATGTATTTGATAAAATCAATGTATCAAAATCCCATTCATTGTTTTACAAAAAACATAAACAAAAACAAAAAGTATTTGTTACATATGCTAGAAGTTGAATAGAATCTCTTTTACAATATTGTATGTTTAATGTATTGGAAAAATCAAATCCAGATATGTTGGATTAATTTACTCTAAACTCCCTGACTTAATGCTTTATAAAATTATTTTTCAACTTTAAAAAAACCAGAATTATTGCAAAAATATCAGACAAGATCCACACTTTGATACTTCACAATCTGACTACAATTATTTATATTTAAATTATACCTTGTAGCATTACCATTTCAGAATAAACAATGAGTACACATGTTTTAATCATTAATTTTTTTCGATATTTGATTTGATTTGATTTGATTTTTTCGTTTTTATTTTTATTTTTCCAGAAGTATTTGCATTTAAGAATATTTTACATGTTAACAATTTTCTTTTTAACATTTTAATTTTATTTAGCATTCACACTAATATTCTACTAAGTAACAATTCAATATTTTGATATTAACTAGGAAGTTTTTTGTTTAGATATGTGTGCTTAACATTTTATTTTTTAAAGTATGCACATCATATTGTTAAATTAATTATGATCTTCATGAAGTGATATTAATAGTTTTTAGGCCCACCATATTTTGTCTAACTCTTTATTTGAATATGGAGAAGTTTGTAGTTGTCAACATGCATGCTCATCAGTGTAGTCTAGTAATACAAAACCAATTGACCATCCATCTAGTACACAACATTATTGTCCCTAAAATCCAATATTTTGTGAAATCTTATCTTTGATTGATAATATAAGATTCTTCTTGTGGAAAAAAGCACAAAATGCACAACTTCTGCTTATTCTTTACTGATGAATCACATGTATTATTCTAGTCAGTATTAGAGATGCTGCACTTTAAAAAAGAAAAAGAAAAAGAAAAAAACCTAATATGTCTTTACATCTGTGAAAAATAAATTCCCACATAGTTAAATATAATCAGGTATTTAGATAATCAATTTAAAATCACAAACGAGAATTTTATCATTTGGGGCATCTGACCACATGTGTACAACTGATAATTTAAAAAAAACAATAACAACAACAACAAAGAAATTACATATACAATGTGTAAGGACCTTTTACTGTCAAACACACATTATCTAAGCCAGTAATTTAATCAAATTAAAAATGTCTATGATTTGATAACATATAAAGAAAGCAAGCATGACTGGTAATTTTTTTGGTTCTTCGTTTTGTTTTGTTTGTTTGTTTGTTTTGTTTTTTACATGTTTGTACACATTTATTATAGCAACATTTATTTTCTTTTGAAAAACATGGTTAGTGGAGGATTGAGTAGGGGGTAGAAGGAAGATTCATTACCTTGAAGAAATGCAAATGGTGGCACAATGCTCATTATCTATGACAAAAAGAGTTGCCCAGACTCTTGTAAGGTAATTAGGGTTCACTTACTGAAGGGGCACATGAAGCAAGCCACCATGGAAACAAATATTATATGAAATAATGTAATATGGTATAAAAATAAATAAATAAATAAATAGGAAAATTAGAAAATATTTATCATATAGGCGTAAATATTGAAAACTACATTTTAATATATGAAATGATAATATTTATTACTTTATAAGTTTTGTAATACAATTTATTAGTTCCTATTGTTGAAAAATAATTGTAGCTTAATCATTTAACAAATATAGATGAATTTTTCTTTGAATACTTGCAAATGAATGAAAGATTTTTTTTTAGAACTAATTGAAAGTATTAGCCCTAATTGTATTCCATAAATGTAAAGTCTCCAATACAAACCTTAAATTTGAATAATAATTACAAAGTCATTTCAAACTTTATGAAAAGAAGCTTGAAGCTAGCTCTCTAATCTTAATTATTGATCTCCAAATATCTCCATACTTTGCCCTATGCAACTATTTTAAATTGCTAGAGGTTTGATTTTAATCTTATCTCACAAATAGATGATCCATGGATATCAATTTAAACTATCATAGGATTTTTTTAGCTCGATTATATCCTCAAGTTAATCTTAGTATCATTCATACTAATTATTTATCTCTTTTATTCTATTTTTACCAATTTATGGTCTTTTTAAGGCAATAAAAGAATTTCTATAGCCTAAAAGTTAAATAACTAACCAATCTTTAATCTACTAGCTATTAAGATAAGAAAATAAAATAAGAGACTTTTATAAAAGCCATATTTAAATAACTTGAATTATTATTGAATCAAATTAATTAGATATTAATTAGAAATTTATTTTTGATTATGTTTTTATCATATAGTTATATTATAATATAATATTCTATCACGGACATATACAATTACTTATATGATTAGATAGAAGTAGGTAAATATAGATTAATTTTATAAAGTCTTTTAGTCAAGCTTCCTAGAAGCTTCATAGATGCGGTTTTGACTTTAGATATGTTTATAGGTTGGAAACTTGGCCAACAAGTTAACCATGTGTTGGTAGCTTATGGAACAAGTTCACTCTGTATATTAGCTTGTAGAACAAGCTATCCATGTGGCACATACATAATAACTTGTCTTGTAAGTTAAGACATGTGGCTAGCAAAGTCAACGTGTTTTAAAGGTCCTATAAGACATTGCTATGTAGCTCCTAGTTAAGAGTATATATGGAGGCAAGAGTGAAGCCTTCTTCACTCTTCTCAATGCCTTTTTAGTCCTTAGTCTTGTTTCAAGACTTTCTAGTTTTCTAGTTTTTGGCAATAGCTATTTTAGTTAATATTACATTACCTTTTGAGTGACTTTTTAGTTCTCTTCACTGATACAAGAGTGTATCCATGATTCTCTTTTTTGAGATTCATATCCTCGATACATTCACCTCTTTTGAATATCTTCTTCTTCTAATATGTGCTAAATGAACCATATGTCATAATTGGCATCACACTATTTCTTCATTTTTTACATCAAATCCTTCATTATTATTTTCATCATCTATTTTAATATAATTATCTTCTTCAAAAAATATTGATATCTTTAGTATGATCTTCTACATTGATTTCTCTATTTTGTCTTTTAAAAATCTTCACTTGCTTCTTAGCAACAAATATCTTTAATCTTATATCATCCAATTCTTTTAATGAATATGTGATATTATCATGGATTGTCACCACTATATATGGCCCAAATCAATATTTTAAAAACTTCCACAAACTACTATGTTGATTATCCAAATTATTATCATAAAAAAGTATCCAATCATCTTTTCAATTGCTCTAGATTTCAATCAATGTTGTTTATCAAATCGAGCCTTATTTTTTAGCCTAGCTTTTTTTAATCTTTTCAATGCTAGCTCTACATCTTTTGATATTTGTTCTAGTTGCCAAATTCTAATAGCAACAACTCTTCTTTTGTCAATCCATCTTCTTAAAGTAACATACTTTAAATTGGCACGTCTTCTTCAATTGGCATAATAGATTTTTGACTTGTCATGAGTTGCACTTACATATGTCCTATCACTAAATTATATGTGGTTTGATCAGTCCATAATACATAAAGTAGATTTTGCATCTAATAATGTAAGATAAACTTTGTCAAGCTGAGCCAATATTTTTTTACAATCTTATATATAATTAATAATATACTTGTGACATCCTTTCTAAAGTTTTATTTATTTATTTTTTTTGCATTCTTTAATAGAAACATTATTTAAAAAACCATAATTTTCTAAATAATAAAATCTCTCAATATCTTATTCATTTTATTCATCATATGCACAAGTGAGTTAGTAATACCTTAAAGAAGAGTACATATTCTAACTAACCCAAGTAATGTTCTCATTGTTGTCGCATCTCTATTCTCTTTTGTAAGTTAAAATTGGTCATAGCATGAAGACAAATCATCCATTGAATAGATTGCTCTTTGTACAAATGCTTTAGCAAATTCATCCACCATCAATTCAATTCCTATGTTCTTGATAGCCGCCGCAATCACTAACTACATATCTTGAATAAACTATAATGAATTATTTTTTTTAGGCACTATGAACCATTGATTAGAATATGGTGCAAAAAAAAGGCTTTAAAATCTTTATCTTCATCTTTTCTTTCAATAATTCCATCAAGCTTGATAAATATGCCTTTGGCACTAGAATTGGCTTCAAATTTCAAGGTACATATGGTATAATAAAAATAACTATAGTATTACAATATTTTTGTTCAGATACCGAATTTCATGAGATTCAAAGGCAAATAATTTATCTAATTTTGCCAATATTTCTTTGAAGTATGCAATTTTTTTTAGCAATAAAGAACCATCAAAATTAATCTTCAATTCTTTAAAAGTCTCTTTAGTGAACTTATGTCTAATATTCTTTGGATCCCTTAAGTTCTTTATTTTTTATGCTTCTTCTATCTATTCTTTAAAATCTTTTGGCAAAGGTCTAATAATGAGTTTCACCTTCTTATCCATTTTCTTATATTTTATTTCAAC